GCCCATGTGCTCAGTGTGGCGTTCTTAGCATTAACAACCGAGCACGCTGTGTCAAAATACCCCAGTTCCTAGAGTAGCCCACCACTTCCTCAAGGCCACAGGTGTAAAAACCAGATTGTTACCTGCTTGGTTCAGTGCCCACCTGAAATTATCCTCACTGGGCTGCACTCCGCTCCTCTGAGCGGGCACCTTCCACCTTTTCTGACCAAAATACTGTTTTTCACTTCAGGAAATGCAACTCTGTGGGGTCTGCTAGACAGGCCGCACCTCATGTATCAGAATGTTAAGTTATAAGAAATTACTTTTCCAGGGCCTTACACAGCAGCATCCATATTACAGCTGCGTGTTGTCTACAGCTGTGGCTTGCTTTGAAAAAAGAAACCACAACAAAACCAAAAGAGCAAAGCAAAACCACCAACTCCCACTCCCCAACACCCTCTTCCTCCCTCTCCTCGGAACCACAGGCCGTGTTACTGAGCACACTTGTCTGTCTTGGGGCTTCCCCTGTAGAGAAGCTTGACTTCCACAAAGGCTGTCCGGTGTGGAGCGATGGATGCCTGTTCCCTACTCGTTCTCATTGCTATTACTGCTGTTGTGGGGTTTTTCTACCACTCTTGAGCATACGGTTATCAGTGACACCGCAGGCAGACAGTGAAGATGTCATTCCAGTGCAGTCTGTTTTCTTGTTGGTTTTCTTTTTTTTCTTCCTTTGGACTACATCGATTATAGTTGCCATTTCATATGCTAATTAAGTAATAGAAGCTTTAGTATGTGTTAATCATCCTTGTAAACTTGTAAGACTGAAACAGATGGGGTTGGTGGTGTGTACCCATAGCATTAGAACTGTGGTAAGAGACAACCATCTTTCCAACCCAACATGACAGTTCCTATCTCATCATGTACTTAGTGGCTGCCGCATTTCATACTAATGCATGTGTCAGTCACAGCTGTCTGACACAAATCACAATGGCTTTATTCTATGGCTCGAGGGGGTTTTGTTGTTGTTACATGAACTACTTTGTCTTGAGAATATGGAGTCTGATATTAGCGAAACAGCTTTAACAGGAAATTGACATGTGATGAGAAAATTTGTTCATCACTTCCACAAATCAGAGGGTTTGCCTGCTTCTGGATTTTCAGTCAAGATCTGGAGCAGCTGCTTTCAGAGTTCAGAACAACTCATACTGCCTCCCTCTGCTAAGCCCATGATTTCTTGGTTCTGTCTTTCTGCTACTTCTGGTGATTGTGTTGATGCTTTTCACTCTTGGCTATTGGGAAACACCTAGTTACAAGACCTGGCCAACCCCCAAATCCTGTAGGATCATCATAGTAACATATTTTGGAAGGCTGAAGCTTAGAAGTCCAAATGATGCTGGACTCATCTTGAATGTCATGCTGCCCAGCCTTCCTCCTAAGAAGTAGTACAAGTCTGATAGATGAGTCAGGAGTCAAAGCTGAAACCAAAGGAGTATTAGTCAGTCTTTCTGGGCATGACAGCTGCCACAAAATACCACACCTCCCGTGTATGATCTGTAACCCAGAAGGGAAGGCGGCCTAGTTAAGCTCTGCCAAGTGTCTTAATATCCGTAAGTAGAAGGTACCGTGCAAGTTTCAGATACCACACTAGGACTGGTTCGCCTTCATTCCTAAAGGCCTGCAATGGAGTATGTGTTTTGAAACCCTATGGAAGATGATTATACCTTTGAGTACAGCTCAATAGCACAATCTGGTCATCTATGTACACAAACTAAGTTCATCAGTCACAAACAGTTTGAGTGTGTGAAGCTGTTTACAAAAATGGTACTTATTTCTCAGTTTTAATGTAAAATCTTACCCGGCTGCTCCTTGGTCAGGTACTTTCAGGAAATCCAAGCTTTCTGGTTGCTGTGAAATCTTGCCTGATCCTCCTGACAGTTGCCGTGGCAAAGTTGGCCGTGTCATATTTGTATACAGGCTTTTCTGATTGGCCCGTTGATTTCCTGGGACATGGGGAAGTGGTACCAACTGGGGAGGATTTATTACTCCATTTTGCTGCTGACCTAGAAGGAAATAAAGTGTGAACACATCCAGCTCAGCTGTCAGTTAGACTCAGCTGTCAAGGAACTTGAAAACACAGTAATGTTGAAATACTGAAGTGTGATTTATACACAGTTTCAAGTCTGCTGGCGCTCTGGTTTGGGTTGATGTCGTCTTGGACTTGTGCTCAAGCCCTGAATGTTATGAATAGGGAAGGGGATTAGCTCTCAGATGAATTCAACCTTTTATTAATGTTAGAGGTGTGGTTGTTACATGTGAGCTATTTAAAAAATACCGCACAAAATTTTATCCAGTTAAGAGCTGACCTAAAGCTAACTAGAATTGCTGGGGATCTCTTTTTAAGTTCAAACTCCATCCATCTTCGTGAATACTGGGTAGACTGCTTTTTAAGTTGCTATAATTATTTGTCTATTTGAACAAGCAACAGGGTTTGGGGTGTCTTGTTTGTTTGTTTTAAAGCCTTGCTGCTACTTCGATAGCTCAAAAGAAGTTTGAATTTTCTGGGTGATGACAAGGGTAAATGGCTTTAAATAATTATGCCTCTAACTCAGATTTAAACCAAACTCCCCATGTGTCATCTACCTGCAGGATCAGGGCCTAAGGAGCTAAATTCTTCATGTTTTACATTCTGAAAAGTAGCAGAATGAATAGCTGTGCAGAGAGCCTCCTCTCATAATCATGACCTGGAAAAACCTTACTGCATTCAACTGCTGGTCTTTGCTTCTGATACTCTCTTGAGACTGTGGCAGAGCTTATGTAGTCATGAACTCATACATAAAACTCGCTTTGGGACCCAAGCTAGTGTGGCACATATGCTGTGGTTCTATAAAGAAAGGTTTGTTTTATTCTGAACATATATGTAACAGTCTGTTCAGCTACCGGACCATTAATTTCAAAACAGGTATGAAAATAGCAGACTGCATTTCAAATGATCAAGGACGATGGCCCACACTGTGAGAGCAGGATGAAGAGAATTGTTTGTGACTTTCATGGAGGAATGTGCCCAAATCATGCAATTGCCTCAGACTCCTTGAAAGTCTGGACAATATAGCTGGAACTCTTTTGTAACAGCTGTCTTCAGTCTTATTTTTCCAGTTATAATTGACTACTTTTATCAAAGGGTTTGAATTAAAAAAAACCCAAAACCAAACCACCACCAAAACCCCCATGTTACGGTAATACATTTGAGATCTCTATGAAAGACTGCTACTTACCTGCTTACATGATGCCCTAATGCATAAGGGTCAACACAGCATTTAACTTCAGTAGCTGGTTACGCTTATCCTGCCTGGACACTACAGTGTGGTTTCACTGGTCCAGGAACATCTAATCTAGTTCAGCTCCACAACTGAACACCTGGGAAGAGGTGGGTCACTGGAATATTGTTCTCTCCTTGGAGTTCACAGGCCAAATTAATTTTTTGCCTCTAGGGCAGAGGTGAAGCAACCAGATGACATCAATCCCATGCAGTAAATTAGCCCAGTGTCTTGCTGCACAGAGGCAGGCTCTTCTAAACAGTGCTGTGGGTTGACATGTCTGCCAGGAGCTGTCATAGGCTCTGGGGGATATATGGTTACAAAAGGACATACTGCAGGTATGGGCCGGACTGGTGCCTTGGACTTGCAGGCAAATCTACATCCAAACCACCTTACCTACATGAGGCAAGTTTGGGCTCAGTCTGCAGGCACAAGGCTTCTTTAACCAATGTTTTTGTCTTTTTCATGTAGCTATGAAACTGCTGAAAGAGTTTTTGAAAATATTAAACCAGACTTCCTTGATTTAACTCATCCTGAATGAATATTTAGTGCATTTGCAGACAGGTTAACTCCTGTAACTACAGCAATTTCCCATTTCACTACAAGCATCTCTTGCAGATCATGCAGTCTTAGTTTAACTCATACAGCTATGAGTTTTACTAGGATTGGGAATTGCCTAGTTAATTTGGTGACCAAGACTGGTTCCACACTCAACTGATAGCATTAGCATTGTGCTTCTCAAGAAACAACAGCTGACTGAAAGAGAACCCTTTGCTAAAAAAAAAACCCAACAGACCACACTTGGGAAATGTTGGATCAATGGAACATTGTTCTCCCCTCTGAGTTCACAGGCTAAATTAATCATATCTTTCAAGGGCAGATGTGAAACGCCCTAATGACATCAATCCCATGCAGAAAAAGCCATGCTCCTTACTGGCACAGCTGATAGGTCTCAGCATTCAGCTTACACAAAAGTTGTTACCCACAGGGTAGGACAATGTGACATAAATTGTATTCTGTTATTTACTGGCCCTGAAAGCAGTTTCATTGCAGAGCACTGTCTGTGGCTTGGTAAGTGTATAGCTTTTACTCCTGAAAGGGCAATGGGGAAGGCTGTGAGGTTAGTTTTAGATTGTCTTACGCTCAGTGGCTGAACAGGCCAGCATCCATGAGAACCAGGACACCTCTGGTAGAATACCAGTTTGGTTGTCTGCAGACTCCAACAATACACCTCAAAATTCCTACAATGTATGTTTTCCGGACAGGAACTTTTAAAGAGGATTTTAAACCTTTACTATGATTTTCGAATGGGTAAAAATTACCACATAACAAGAATAAATCAAAAGTAATTTTGGTTTTGCCCGAGGCTAAGAGGACTTACCAGGAGGAGGTGGTGCGGCTCTCATAGGATAAGTCTGACTTTGAGACCTGTTAGAATAACCTCTACTTTGAGTAAGGTTCCGCCTAGTAGGACCTAAAAGAAACCAGCAACATTTTGTTACCCTTTCACCATTACTTAATCAGGTAAGCCCTTCTGACTGGCAGAGCCCCACTCCGATCAGAAAGAGCTGATCTTCAGGAATGAGGAATCTGACTCCTACAGTGCTGGCTGGGTTGTGCTTGAAGCTTCACGTGCAGCAAGGATAACTTCGGTATATTCTCCCTTTCGTGATCTAGTTCAGCTGCAGGTAAAGCTGTCTCAAGAGCACAGGTAAATGAGGAACAAAAGGCCGTTACCTTATGAATCTGTTCATAAATCACAGGTAGCTGGCACTACTTGCGACTACCCTGTTTCCTGTCAGCAGTTAGTATGAAAAAAAGGTAAGACACAAAACCTGAGAGGCTCAATCTTTGGTGATATACAGGGGTTACCCTTCCTCATACCTCACCTGTCCTGTCCTGATGCAGACCTTTCTTCACCAGCCAGACTGTAGGAACTGCAGGAGCTCAAAGCAGAGTGAAACACTCTTCCCCACAATGCTTGGCTAACTGTGCCATTCACAGTATGCCACATGATTAAATGCCCTCGCTTCTGCTGCCATAGGGCAAAGAATTTCAGACATTTCAGAAGCAGTTGGTATATAGTGAAAGTAACGGAATTCCAGCACAATGGTAGAGCAGCAGGGAATTCTGCTGTATTGTTTGGATCTTATTTTAAGTAAGTGTTACAGAGAAATCATAAAGAACATGTTAAGGCTAGAGGCAAGCAAGGAAAGAAAGTCTCGACCATTCTCTAAATTTCTAAACCATTCACTAATTTCTAAAGGAAGTTCATACTTACGGGAATTCTTTGGCAGCCCAGGCCCGATGCTGATCTGCAGCACTTTATTACTTGGTTTGAGAATGGCTATCTCTCCTTGGCCTTGCATAAACTGCACTTGTCGAGAACCAGCACTGCTCCAGGGCCCCCAACTCTCCTTTTTCAGCTTTACTTCAAGTCTAATGTTAGCACATGAACGCATGAATAAAAAAACAGAAAGCCCTTCTGTGTCAAGTCAGGACAGTATCACTTATCAGCAGGTAACGTTTTAGAAATACAGAAAGCAGACTGAGAAACTGTATGCCCTGAGTGACTTAGCTTACATAAACCACCTAATGAAGTCACTTTTTCATGCTTTGAAAATGTTGTTCTTAACTGGTGGTTGCACTTTACTGATAGAGCCACTCAAAGGAGGTTTTAGACACCATGTGGAGGCTGGACAGCAGAGCGAGCTTTGAGGAAAAACGTGCAAAGGTCTGCCTAAGAAATCTGTCTGCAGTCAAACACCGCTGCCTCTGCAGCAGACAGAGCAAGCTGGAGTGTTCCGTTCCTAAACACTGTCCTGTATGTAGCATTAGATGTGTATATGTATGTATATACATTGGTATGTATGTGCCAGTATGTGCTCTAGGACTGGGCCTTGTGCATGGCAGTAGACATTTTTGCATACATTTACTTCACTGTTTCCAAATTAATTTTTTTTTCCACATGCACACACACATATATAAATTCTTTCCCAGCATTTCCATACTATACATCTCCTTTGAACTGTAATTAGCTATGAGCTAAGTAATTTATGGTTTGGTTTCGGGCAAGACCTCAGATGTACAATACATCACATCTTAAAGGAACAGAATAATTTACTCCTGGAACTGGCTTTGGACTCCCAGTGTATACACGACAGCAAATGTTTCACAGGTCAATTGCCCTCCTACACCCTTTCCAAACTACAGTAAAAATCTCCTGTTACCTTTTATCATACAAATTCAAGGCCTGCTGTTGCTAATCTGCCTAATGGGTAGGAGTATTCGCAAAAGCACATGCTTCTTGGGACAGTATGCAGCATGTTCTTACAGCCAACATGCACAACAAACATCCTGCAGCTTTTCAGGCTTGTTTCTAAATGATCTTCCCAATATCATTTACTTAACGAGGCTCCTTTAGAATTATTCTCTCACTTGGCAGTCCTCTGTCCCCACAACAAACTTCAGATTTTCAGATTGTTACAGTATGTTTGGGAATTCTCTTTCAAACTCTTCATCACGATGTTTCCACTCCCAGGTCAAGGTTAAGGAGCTGGAAGAGGATGCTCCCTTTTCATGACAGGAAAGAGCACCCAGCAGAGATGCAGAGCTCGCGCTACAGTTGCACATTAATTGTGCAGTGACTGGTGTGGCCCTTGCTGTGGGGCCACAGCTCTGCGGGCACAGAGCTGCTCTGCAGCACAAAGCTGTGTCAAGCCTGATCCCATGTTCAGTGGACTGAAAGCAAGTCTTCTTTCTATGCACAGACATGGAAAGTGGCAGATGGCCCGGATGCAACCCTGATCTACGGCGAGCTAATCAGAACGTCTGATCTCCTTGCACATACAGATTTTAACACTGTGCTGCCTCTTATTATCTTAAAACAAAGCATAGTGTCAGGAGCTCAACAACTAGCACTCACTCATTTCCTTGGCAGCAAGAACAAAGATTATTCTTAGAAGCCCATTGAAAATAACTCACGTATTGCTAAATTTCAGAGGTAGTTTTCTTTGTGTTTTCTCTTCGTATCGCTTTGATAAGAGGCTTAAAAACTCCGTTTTGAAGACTGATTCGAGCAAACTATCATATTCCTGTTCATGTAGAATGAAAATGTCATCCTGCATGGTGCTGAAAAGAAATCAGAGCATATACCACTCAGATTAAAATTCCATCAGCAAATACAGCCAGCATTAAAATGTCATTTACAGAGTACTCGTAGTTAATTTTTAAGAACATGAAGTTCAAGCAGCATTAATTATGGAGTGTTGCTTTCTAAGTGTAGATTAATTTTCTGCTTCCCTTTTCAGTGTCTCATCCATATCCCCATGCAGCCACCTGAATGCTAGCTAGTGTAGGCCAACATGTGCCTGGAGAAGAGACAACTGTGCAGAGCTGAGAATTTCTTAACCTTATCACAAAATAACCATCACAGCACCAGCGTGATAGTTCACAAAATGGGAGTGCAACCGATGAAAAAAGGAGCATTAGTTAGATATTTTAAAGTATTCCTGGCAGAAAATGTGAGGCTCCTTTTCATGGTTCTTTAATCTGCTGCAGGGAGAATGATCTGCTGCTGCTATTACTAATACCAGAAAATACTATTTTATATTAGCAATTTATCTAATACATTAGATATCACCTACTAAGTGAAAAAGTCACTCTCCCTTTGCATTTCTCTCTGAAGAAACAGACCTTTCAAATCCTGCTGGATTTGGAATTAACATTCATTATGAGTTTCCACCATTTTTTCCTAAAGAAACCACAGTATATGTAACTCAGAAGTGTGAATGTCTGCATTGCTAAGAAACAGCTTCTTTCAATGCCTTTTGCATCACACAAAAGTGCTGATCTCCCACCTAAATCTACCTATGCATTTCTTCAACATTTCAGAGTAACTCCACAAGTGATTTAATTATAGCACATCAGAAACCTCAAAGAACATACAGCTCAGAAAAAAAAGCCTCCACCTTCCATCAGAGACAAATTTAGGTCTATTTGCCCTCATCACTGTTTTCTGATCCTAATTACCTAGCAATCAACACCTTTCCCCTTTGAACATGCTCCTCCCTTTTCCTCTCCCAGCTGGTTTGCCTGATTGCTGACTCTATAAATCTGGAAGAGGGGTCAGGTCTAGCTCTCCGACCCTCACTTTTCCTCTGGTTACTTGAGACTACGGCCTCCCTCTGCAGACTGTGAGTACTTTCCTATGCAGAATTAAAAACAGCTTCCTAGTGCTGCTAGAGGTGCTCTTGGTGGTCAGGTATGAAGATACAATCCTAACCCACCTGAGACATTAGGTAAAAGATGAGTTGTATCACTGCCTGTTATTCTAAGAATCTACCTACCATCTGTAATACTCCATATTCTTCTTTCAACTTCTGAAGTCTTTCCCATAGTTTGCAAAAAGATATATGAAACTACAAAACTTACCTAGTTAGCATTCAAATATCAGTAAGAAATCTATAGAAATGGAGTAAGAGCATGACATCCTGTCCTATCACCAAGCAAATCTAGAGACATGTAAGAAAAGCCCAAGACCTACAGTAAACATTATCCTGGCAGTGACCCTACATTTTCTGACCTGGCAAAGATTCTGACTTCCCAATGCTGTAGGGATGTCCTGTGTCACTCCTTATCAGAAGAATTTTAAAGCTTCAATTGTTACTAAAAACTCAAGAACACTTCCATGAGAGTATGGGTTGCCATTTCCTGTACCCTGAACAAATTCCAAGTTGAGCACTTGCATTCCTTCAGTAATTTAAACTGTTATGTAGTGCAAACGGCTTTTAATACGTGCCAGTAGTGATAATTATTCTGCCCTTATTGTGTATAGGTGTAGTGATACAAGCTTACATCGATGTCGCACACTGCTTTCTTGAGATATTGTTTAGATAGCAATGCCAGAATCCGGTTAACCTCTTTCCTCCTTCCATTTACAATATATTTCATTTTGTATTGATTTAGTTTAATATTGCATGAAAAACAGAACAAATTAAGAATTGAAACTTCTAAAACTTCAAGGCTGCAATACAGAATAGAGCTAAATCCATTCTGGAAAGCTCATAAAGAATGCTGCTGCAATTATATTCTTCCAGTGCAGAGGTTTGAGATTCACTTCAAAGCCAGTTAGAAATCAATTATCTGAGAGGTACAGAAAATTTAAGCTACATGTGTAACAAACTGGAGTTTTCAGAGCACGTAAGCTACAACTACCGCAATTTTTGCTATGAGCCTGACATCTGAAAAACTGTTTTGGGTTTTTTGTTGGCTTTTTTCCCCTCAAAAAATACACAGTAGGTAATACAGGTACTAAATAAAGGGGATTTTATTACAAGCTCTTGTCACCGAGACAAGATTATCTGTAATTTGAGAGAAACAGTAACTTTTACAGCCTCTGCAGCCACTTCAGTACAGAGTGAAGAGACCCCTTGGTTAAGACGCATTTTGAACCCAGGCCATACTAACATGGTAACAGGGAAAAGCCCTCTCGCCCCCTAAGATTTTACAGTTTGGTTTTGGAGGAATACCTGGACAGTTTGAAAGGTTGTAATTCTAAATCTACTTTTTGCATATACAAAACCCAGTGTTTTTTACAACAAAATAAAATCAGTAAGGTAAATTAAAAACATGATTAGTCATAATGTAACATACGTATTTCCTCTGAACTAAATGCGTTTGGTTTTGCTTCAGAAGGTTCTGTGGAACTGTTATTTACATGTGAGGGAGTGTAACAGCTTTCACTGACTTGGCAGGCAGCCATCCTTTTAGCTGACTCAATGTGACTATGCCTTTGGAATGCTACAGGCCCAATTCAAGCGTCTGGCTGCAATCTGCTCAAGGATTGCACAGCGCACAGTCCAAACTTGGAGCACTGAAGAGACAGGTTCCACTCTCAACTTCAACCTTGATCTCCTACAGCTGCTGCGTTGCAGTTGTTATTATAAAGATTTGTGATTGATAAAACACGGATTTTGAAAAGGGTACTGTGAGGAGACACATCTTGGAGACCCTCCCCTAATCTTGAAATGGCTGTGAAGAATTCTGTGAAAATGTGAAATCTGCTGGTTTTAAGTACAGGATAATGTCTGTGAGAAGATTCCTGGCTATGCTAACGGAACTGTTTTATAAGCATATACTAAAAAACCTCTGCAGTAGCTATCAATACACAGCACTCAAGTGTAGACGTATGATTTATTTCAATATTTGAAGTACACCTGTTGCCTTGTATTGGTATTCTTTTCTATCAAATTACACTCAGCTACCAGCTCTGATAAACTACAATGAACTGCAGAGGAGTCCAGACTTTGTTCACTCATCCTCAAAGGGATGAAATTATATAGACAAGAATCCACTGGTTTCATGGGCAGGTTCTTCCTCATTTTGCTCAGCTAACTGTGTTTCTCAGCTCTGTGTGGACACCTCACAGACAGTTCCTGCAGTCAAGGACTGGCCTGACATTCAGTCAACAGAAGTGATGTGAAACCCAACTAGAAATAAAGGTTTTTGGTAGCTCACCAGAGAGACTGCCCCATTAGGAAGCCATGGCCACGTACAAGGTGCACTTCTCTAAGTAAGGATTATTTCTGGGTATACAAGTTTGAGCCAAAACTTACTAGAACCTGCCTGTGTGCATGGTGAATACATGCTTTACAGAATACTTTCTGGGGGACACACCAGATAGGTGAGACCCAGTGTAAGTGAAACATTTTAACTAGTCAGGCTATAAACATCAACATCTATTGCTGTAACACACTTACTAGGTCTGGAGTGAAAATAAGGCTTCAGCTTTCTTTGTTTACAAGATTCAATTAATACAGCTTAAGAAACTCACCCTTCATCAACCGACTTATTTCCCCCTGTCCTACAGAAATTTCTCTGTCAACTGAAGGATATTTTCAAGGTACTGACCTTAAAGAAACTGAAAGAATTCTTTCCACTTCCATCCTTCGCTTTAAGACTTCCTTCACTTGGCCTTTCTCTGGACCCTGCTTTATCTTTTCACGCCCAATCAGATAGATACACTTTGGAGTGAGGATGAGATCTCGCTTCACGCTCTGAAATACAACATTGTTTGAAAATACATGGCTATGCAGAGATCAATACACTAGTGTTGTGCTGCTGTTCCAGAGATACATAATGTGCTATGATTTGGGGCAATACTGTTAGTCTTTGGTTCAAGTGAAAGAAAAAAAAAAAAGTGATGTGATTAATCACCTGACCTCAGAGTGAGGTTCCACGGGACAAGAAAGTAGCTTTGTTCCCCATTTGCTAACTAATGTAGCTTTCTGCCCAGCAAGTCCCATAAAGCCTTCATCCTGGGACAACAGGTTTGACAATGGCAATGTTCCGATCACAGGGGTGTAACTGCTTCCCTATGTGCCTTTGAGGTCAAAGACACATTTTCAAGCTGGTACGCTAGATGGTATGACACTAACATGACGGAGTTTCTGTTAAAGGATGGCAAGGATGCCTGTAACTTCCTAGCACAACTAATCATGAGTGGATGTTGCTCTTAAACTTACCTTAAACCGTCTATCATATTTTGTTACGGTGTCTGCGAAATCGATCTTCTCCCGTTTGCCCACAAACTGGCGTAGCTCTGGATGGTCCTCCATGCCTATGTAATCTCCCACAAAATTCCTGTTAATGCTGTTTCGTCTTCTCTCCTTCTTGTTCAGCAATAGATCTGATGCTTGAATACCAAAAAGAAACATTTACTTAGCTTTCTAAACTCATTATCTCAGAGGTGACTCTTTCAAGCAGAACTTTTAGGGAAAAAGTGATAACCAAATTGTTTATAATATGGGAAAAATAGTAAAGCACTGCTACTAATTCCTTATATAAGGATCCATGTGATTATTTTATCCATTCCTAATGAAATACCCTGATGGCAAGCTCAGCAATTCTGATGAATAGGGAGCACTTTTGGAACTAAGGAATTTCTCACTCATTGATGGAAATTAAAGATTAACTCTTCTAAAACCAGAATGGTGTTCACGTACATAACCCAGGTCACACGTGCAACTAAGCACTACAGTCCTTGGATTGATTTGTATCAGCTACAGGCCACCTAGGACCTGTATAACTGTGGAAAGCTTTTCCTTTTTCACTTCCCCTGGAACGTCCCCAGTCTGTCTTGCTCAGTCTGGCTTCATTTTGAGAGTGAAACACTGGGTAGTCCAAGAAATCCGTGCATGCTGAGCAGCCAACCTTATCAGTGGTGCCTTAGGGGTCCAACAATTCGCAGTCATTCCGAGAACCATCTGCAGTGCAATGGTTTGCTCTACAGAGATGGAGATGCTTCCCTTCATCCCTGGCACACTCTCTGTTCCTGGAATTGTGTGTGAAATATGTCATCAGAAGTTACGACCTACCTTCTTCTCTCATTTGTACGTATTTCTTCCTGGCCACATACTTCCTCCATATCTTCTGGATGGTCCTGGCATACCCATCATACTTCCTCTCTCTCATCTCTTCCAACAAAAATAGCTGTACAAAGAGACAGTAGGGTGAGTCAAACTTTTTACATGAAAAGTTCAAGAAAAATCTGTATTTTACTTTCAACAACTTTTCAGTGCATTTCACTCTAGATCCAAGCTGGTGCCTCTACCACAAGTAGAATGTTACATAACCTTTCTGGGAGAAATCTCTGACACTTGAGTGCTTCTGGTGCTTACCAGTGCACCCATGAATCTTGATAGCCAATGATGAAGGAAGAGGAATCTGAATTCTCCCCGAAATATTCTACTGGTGCAACTCAATGTTCTCCACTGGGCATCCATCCAGCCTCCATTGTCACAATCTCCAAAATTCACATTTCTCTTGTCAGAATATCACCATGTCTATGGGGATCTGTGCAATGTGTAAAATAATGCACTCATTCACATGCAACTTCCTTCCCTATCTGAATTTCATACTCATGTCCGTTGGCTCCATTCTTTCCCAGGAGTGGTTTGTCAGTTGGCTGCAGGGTTTACAACTATGATCTTGTATTTCAGGGTCTAAAATTTTGTCAGAATTCAAGAGGAAATGCTGATTTATCAATACAGAAATGGAAGGTGCATCCCCGTTCTTGAGAATTTCCCAGGTTCCACTAAAATATATGTAAATTTAACGACTAGAAAAATTTTGTAGTTATTGTAGAATACAGCATATTTCACTACAACCTTTTACATACTCCAGTGTTTTCTTGTCTCATCAGACGGACAAGCATTTTGCTAACACAGTAATAAATCAGTCCAATAACACTACTGTTGCTTATTATCTCCCTCTACTGCATGTTAAATATTCATAAAGCCTTCTCTTCTAGCTTTGAAAAAAAGTAAAATCAGTAAAAACAGGTATGTCAAGAAGCAAACCTGGGCTTTACAGCCATTTCTTAATTTGCTGCCCTCAACCATGCAGATCTAGAAAAACACTGTTGTTCATATTCATCTTAAAAAGGAAACTTGATCTAGTGCAAACCATTTCTGCAGAACCTCAGTTGCTCTTGTACAGAATTATTTACAGGTGTTTGATGGAAATGTAAATAACGAAGCCTCCTTTCTGCCACCCATAAAACCTTATTTCACAGTTGGCAACTCGCCATCTACAGCAAACTTAAAAAAATCTCTTCCCAAACACACAAGCAGTAGATAGGGTTTCAGCACAGAGTCATGAGTGCTCCTGATGCAAAAACTTCCTCAGCTTCAGCAGGGCCATGATCAAGGCCTTGTACAATTCAGTTTACAGTAACAATATTGATGTCTCTTGTGAACACTCACCATTTATTTCTCTAACAATAATGCTAATTGCAAAATCTCAATGCCAAATAGTCTGTCAGCTGAAGGTCACAGTAAAATGAGAGATGATTTTGATACCAAAAGATTTAAAGCCAGCTTTAGAATATTCAGCTCAAAAAATTTTTCATCTTAAAATTACTATTTTTAATACTTGTTTACAAACTGATTTCCTGCTGTGTTTTTCCCCTCCAAAACCCAAATTTTTGAAGAAAATGTATCAAGTGATTGAAAGTCTTAATTTAAATTAAGATCAGAATGCAACCTCAAAAAAGTTTTACTATTTCCAGTCAACCTCATGTTGTCTTAACCTGCAGAACCGCCCTCCAGTAGAACTCACAGATATGCTACTAAATGGCATATACATGCAACTGGGACTTGTTATTGCAGAAATGCATTAGAATAGGAAGATGCATCTGCTGGAACAATTTCCTCCTCTTGGAAACAACCGAGTCCTGTATGTTGGGGTACAGAATATTTCATTTCTTTCCTTGAAAAAACCCACCCCACTGGTGAAGATACGGCTGCTGAAACCTGAGCTCTTATCAGGGACAACCATACCAAGCTTATCATACTTCAGCAGCTAGGAAAGGAGGACAGTTCCTTGTAGGATTTATTACAAAAAACTAAAACCAAAAATACCTCAAAATTTTGATTTATCAATAAAGTAGGATAACATTGAGAAAACAGTCATCACACGTGAGTTATTTTGGTTTCTTCCCTTCTTTATCTCCCAAACTAGGATTGTATTTGGTTTGTTACTAACTCCAGTGAACAGCACAGATGCAAAATAATTTCACAGTGAAAACAAGGAAAATCAGGTTTGCTGCAGTGTAAGATAATGAACACAGGACCGGAAGATGTTGCTTAAATTACTGATTCTGGTCCCTTGTAATTACAAGCAATTAAGTTGCCTGTATTAATTCAAATAACTACTTGACCAGAATGTGTACTTGCCACCACCCTGTAATAAACTTGAGGTCACTGATAAAGCACTACAACTCAACTCTAATGTCACAAGACAATGTCAAAGACATCCACTGACATGCAAAGCTATTGCACCAGCTTTGTAAGACAAAACTCCCCAGTAAGCTCAGGAAATAGATCATGGCCCGTGCTACAGAGGCAGGAGATACAGCTCATACTTCCTCATAACTGGCTAGCTAAGGTGTTGCTTCCAATGACTAAGTAAGATTAATCCTGTACAAGAATTTTCTGCTCTGCCGACATGCACCTAAGTATTCTGATAACCTAACTGCTATATGCTTTATTAATATAAATGTGTGTCTAAGATGGCAGGAACATAAAGTCCCATTATTCCTGAATAGAGATGAAACTATCTTATCCTATTTATGGCAGAAACAACACCGTTTCTATTCTGACTTGGAGAATTATTACCTTTTTCCCTTTAACAGAGATTTTCCCATGTGACTGGGCAAAATGGTGTCATTGCCTGAATTACTGTTGTTCTGCAGAGCAGAAAATGTTTCTGGAAAAGAACATGGTAGTGACAGAAGTGTTCTGCTTTTATTTTGACATGTAACTTCAGGTGAAGCACCAAGAATCCCCCCAGTGCTGAACTGCAAGGTACGGCATACAAACTAAGCCCGATTGCTTCTGATACATAAGGAATGCACGATGGTGAGTAGAGCATAGTTTTTTCCTTCACAGCTTTCCTGAACAGTGATGTAAGAAAAGTTTTCCAACAGACTTTGTGCACTGTAGCAGCCACAGGGTAAAACCAACCTTATGATGCCTCCCTAATGTTCTGAATGGGATTTCAAGTTGCAGTCATTCTGGCACAGTGACTTAATCAATGGTGCATAACTTCTCTTAATTATAACTGGGGGCTATTCTACTTTCATCCATAGTTGTTGTACTGAGAAGCTATGTTCTTGGGCTAGTGGTCGTACGTAGGTTTTCATGCTATGATATTCCTTCATAGGGGAGATCCCCTGATGGAATGTCACCATGTGCAACCTTACACCAGAGCATCTTCACATCCCATCTCCTCTTCTTGATGCATTTAATGCTCCTTGTATTAGTGTCAAAACCATGCGGGCTCCTTAGGTGCTGTGTCCGCTATAAAAGTGCCTAGAATCACTGTTCCTGTGAGACACCTGCCCAGCTTGGCTTACATTCTTGTGCTTCTCCCACCTTAGCATATATCATGCTCGACTTCTGAGTATACAGGCCTTTTATTTCAGCAAAACAGTTCCACAAAGACCCATGTTCAGCCACACTTACAGACTCTGGAGCTTTGATGAAGACTTTGGATTTTCCAAGCTGGTATTGGTCAGGATCCATGTTGACTGACTGCAGCAGGTGGAGAACTCCTTGTTTCTCTTCTCCTTTCCAGGAAGGCCAGGTTGCTTTGGTCAGAATGGCATACCTTAACCACCAAGGAGAAGAGATCAAAACATGAAACAGCAGCAGCAGATTACCACTGACTCTTAGTCAGTACTGCACTGGAGGGAGGTTGACAATTTCAACAGGGCTTACAGAAGCTTGAAGCGTGGGAAGATGCAAAGTGTTAAGATGTTACTTGTTTAGCAAGACCAAACTACTGCAATAAGAAGGGCAACAATGTCCAGAGTCTCCCATTTCAGATGCTGTTACTATTTAGTAACCCCAGTAGTTAATTACAGAAAGTTCTGCTGTGATCTCCTTAAGTCCAGGGCAAGGTTATCTACTAGCAATGATTTAGGGTCCAGATTTAAGTACCTACACCCTTGATAATCTAGATTCATTCCCAAGCACATGGCCGATTTCCCAATCAAGCCTTCTCTGTCTGTCATATTCGTAAGAAGGCTTTTTGTATGTCTAAGCAAGTGGCTAGCTCACACTCGTAACCCACCCGTTTAACAGCTGGTCTGCATTTAGCAAGGAGCCCTTCTTGGCTTTACCCCAGAAAGCCTTTGTCTTGGCCTCTGGGACAAGAGGGAAGATATATGTTGGTGCTACCTGGAGGGAACACTGGGAACTGACGACACAAAAGGCTAGGGAAGGAGGCAGGGATAGTGCTGTAGTACCATGCCTTTGATAGGAAGAGGTGAGTAGTCTTCTTTCTCATGCTGTTCTTTTTAAGCCTTGAAAATGAGATGGATGCCAGGTTGCAGCCCCTTTTAAACAGTCCACTTTCTCAAACTTAACCTGGGTGTCTGGAACTGCCATGCTGGAGTTACAAAGCTGCCTTGTTCCACTGCCCACCAAGGAGCACTGATGGGCTTTAGCTGCCTCAGTGTGTCTGTGGATGTGACTTTTCCAGCAGCAGCTATTTAGATGCCTTTGACAAGGAGACTGGAGAACAGCTGAATGTGTTGTGATAAATTTCTCCCCCAAATCTTTCATGTTCTTTACTCTTGACAATTTTTTTAATGCCTTAAGCATACTTGCGTTATATAAACTAAATCATGCTTATTAGTAGAAATATTCAACTAAGGAAAGTGATAAAGTATGGAATTCAGTTTGTTGTAATTCACGAGTCATTCCTTAAGAAGATTTAGGCAGCTCCTAATAAAATGTTCTCAAAAATCACACAAGGAATTGTTAGAAAATTCATTAAGGAAACGTTCATTACTCATTCTTGTCACCTCTAAAATGTTATCCAGCCAGGAAGCAGAAACAGTGTCATGCAACTTTAACAATACCACACAAAGAAAAGTAGCAAACCGTTAAAAAAGAACATAACACAAAACTCAAACACCTCTGAATAGCAAGTATATTGAAAGAGAAAGCTAACTTATGAATAATTCAGTAGCGTTCAAAAGGGTCTGCTGATGTTACCCGTTCAAATCTATTAGTCCTTAACAAGTGCTCAGGTACTATGCATGATGGTGTAACAAAGTAGCTCTTGTACCATCTCAAATAGTGAGTGTATTATACATAATCTGTGTTTACAATGTGAACACTTAAATATTTACGTAATTTATCAGTATTATGGGATAAATAGATGTAACCTTGGAAGGAGCTGTAAGTTAAAGTAACTCCCAGCTTAATTAATTAATAGCCTTTTTTGCAGGTTCATCATGTACTGCCAACAGTACAGTTGTATAGGGGGTCTAAGCAAGTCTGAATTTAAAGGAGCTAATGTTAATAAAGATATTTGAAACTGCTACCTTCCACACAACAGAATCTGACACTACATTTCAGCATGTTGCAAATTCTTTCCTACATCTTCTGAGCTGTAAAGGAGGGCACAGGGAAAAACATGACTTAAGACCTTTAAATATAAGTAAAGGTATTAGGTACAAAATAAGAATACATTTGAAATTCTCCTTTTTCATAAACTCAGATTAACTTCATACATTTTACTGATGTGACAAGCCTACAGGGCAGAAGAAAAAGATTATTCTACAACATGCATTTCATGTTGGGCATTTCACAGATTTGTAAGGTGACAATGCTGCCATTGATCACTGCTGTTTAGAAGGAGCACTTTCCTCTCATGTTCTTGTGCATGCTTCCCATTAAACTGGTGTCGTTAACGTTCTCCCAGCACAACTGGTCATGTCAACAACCACGTATCTAGGGTTTTCGAGCTCGTGTAATTTCATCTTACAGGGGATTTGGGCACAAGTACTGTTTTCTTAAAATGCTTCTGAAACAATTTCAAATCATGACTGCCCCCCTCAAATTATCTGTTATAAACTCACAGTAAGCAGTTAGGTCTTATGTCTAAATATGGGAGTATGGAGTTCAGCCTTCAGATCGGTTATGCTTTGAAACACATAGGCCTTTTCAGTGACTGTGGCTTTTTGCATGCAAATGTAAATGTTGTACATAGAAGTCTATTCAGCCCAGAAATCACCACTTATCTGGAGCTGCCAAGGAGCTCCCAATGAAAACAAGTGTACAAGCATGCATTTCCTGTCCATCCCATGCCTCAGCCCGCTTTTACTCACACTGACTCAGGGTGTCAGAACAGAGCTTGTTCTGGATGTTAGGGAACTGTGAATGGAAAGGGTGCAGGAAGAGTTTTACTCATAAGAAAATGTTAAATTAAACAAGACTAAGTTGAAACAAATGGATGAATTCCATAGAGATTTCAGTGCCTGTGGATCTCTACATATAAAGTGAAATACAGAAATTTATTCACCTTCCAGAAGTACCACATAGCCTGCTTTTGTGCTGACCTCTCAGGCACATTTCTACACCTGCACAGCCTTCTCAAATCAGTGTTCAACAAGTGTGGAGGGTAGATTTCACCCACATTATTAATCTGTGATTCTGTCTCAACAACAGCTGTGCTGTTAAGTAATGAAGCTTGAAGCATATTCATGTTTACATGTCTGTGCTTGGAGATCGTGAAGAAAAAGGGATTTAAAACTGTTCCGTAATGAAAACTGTGTCTATACTTTAAGATATTTTAGGCCTGTCTATTACTAGATGATTAGAACATTCTCTGTATTGTCATGAAGTATTATCAATGGCTTTGTTCTGTGATTTCTGATTAATTATAGTCCATTCCTTGCAACAATTGATTGGGTTTTATATTCTCAAATGTAACACAAAGACTTCCAACAAAAGCCGATTTGTCATGTAATGGCTCATTTTGGGCACGTATTAGCTGTATGCCTCAAATTTCTAAAAAACAGAAGCTGAATGTTGTATGAATCTTGGAATTGCTCTTATTTAAGAGGATTTCATTAGTGGAGGTAGTTTATCATCTTAGCAGCTGGTCCTAAGACACTGAAAAAAGGATCCGTCTTACAGAGCTCTGACTTGCTTTCATTCAGCGAGCAGCTGCAGTGGTTTGAGTTGTAACCATTCCCAGCTGCTTGAACACCAGTGGAAAGGATATGATGGGCAATTTAAGGTCACTCTTTACACCCAAGTGGCAGGCATGTATTTCTTTAGCTATCTTCTGTAACTGGGTAAGAAGAGTTGGGACAGCTAGAGCAGTAACATTTTAAACAAGGGCTAGCAGATAGACACTCAAATCCCAGGCTCTGCAGCTCATAACTAAGTTGCCTGAATTCTTTTTAACTTTGAGGAGCCCTCTCATGGGGCTGCTGCTTCTTTTCTTCAAAAAGAACTGCGGGCTTAGGCAAGTTTACAGAAAAATTAAAAGACTATCAAAGATACAAAGCCAGCCTTGAAGACACTTTCAAATCTCTGTGCAACCTAAATCATGAGCAAGGTAAATGAGGAAAAAGGAAAGGTTAAGCAGGAAATAAGTGGCTTTCAAAACTTGCAACTTCGTGTCTTCCTCCTCATCACATTAACAACTGCGCTGTGATACTGCAAAACGAGTATAATCCTACCTCTGCAAAAACTTCTTGAAAACCCGCCTGTAGGCATAGCCAGCTCTTCTTACTCGAATATTTTCTTTCAGACCTAAGTATTCCACTTGATGTTTTACCCTGTGGACAAAAGCAGTGCAAGATTTACAATCCATTTGATTTCAGCAGATTTGTGGATTGAGACGTTCTTACAAGTCCGTATCAGTTTAAAGACTATTGGCTTCTAAAATTCATGTGCAGGTATTTGAATCTATTCTTGCACACTACCATGCACACTGCACAGTGGAAAAATATTCAAGGCCTGCAGACTACATGGCTGATATATATGTAGCAAGTTTTATCTTAGCACTTTTTCTGAGATTAACTTCCCATCTCTTAATTTATGTATAAATTTCTTAACTAATATTATTACGCTTAGAAGGCCAAGTAACTATTACCTATACAAGGTATCCAAGGGAGTGAGAAATTGTTTTGTGTTCTTTTACTGTAGGTTTCACCTATGTTTTAGGTAGCTGAAACATCAACAGTAGCACACAGTAGCTCTTTTTCGGTTGTTCTGCAGAAAGGACCAAGTCTGATGCCTGGAGAAAGCCCCAGATGCCACACTTTGATTACACAAAGAATCAGAAAGGAGAAGGCCAGGCCAGTAGATTCATGAAAAACTGTTGTTCCTCCAAATTTTATCATGGTGCAAAGGAAGGATGTGAGGATAGGCACAAGGCTGGCTGAAGCATGCCTTGTAAACTTGCTCATGACGTACTTCAATTACAGACCAAACCAGCACTGGTACAGGATCCACAGAAAGCGTGAATGGCTGTGGAGGGACGCTGCTGCACATGCCCTTTCTGGAGCTGTGGTGCACTTTTTAATGTTCCTTCTTACATATCCTGCTAGTCTATTCCTTAATGCCTGGCAATTTGAAGAACTGCAGTTAGCTTCCTTAATAATGCCTGACTCCTGCAGTTTTCCATTGCATTTCCTGAATTTGCTCATCTAAGTCATGTGGCTGGAAGAGGCAATGTCAGTTTTTAACTGACATGTGGCGTTCAGGGGCTTCTGTTCTTTTACAGGGCACATTATAGATGCTTTAGCTTTCAGTCAGAATTACACGATTTGTTCAGGTTTTAGCCCTGCAAAAGTTTACATATAAAAAAATGTGAGCCTGTTGAGGGCCATTTCACTTTGTTTTGCTTACTATTTCTCTGATTTTACAAAACGTTTATCAAACCCTGAAAAACCCTTGGTAAATTCCATGTTATTTCTCCAGCTATTTTGAAATGTTAATTTTGAGTATAAAGTGTATTGCCCATGGATTTCTTTTTTCCTTTTTTATGGTTGAGACATTCTTTTCACATGACTCACAGTAGAAAGGAAAAAAAACTTCTGAAATCCCATGCTACAAATGACAAAAGTCTTTCAGTTACTCCTTTTTAAAGAACATCTAAGAGGGGTATTTTACTGAATGATGAGCAATACTGCTTTTTTAGCTTGTAATAAAGAATACTGCACATTTTAATCTTGCTGTGTGCAAGGAATAAAATACATTTTGTGCCCACCCCAGGAATTCTGGTGCAGTAGAAAGCTGGTGGACAAAAATACATTTTCCTGTTTATAGCTTTCTCTTCTGTTCACATCTGGAATAATGCACTGCAGCAACAGTATTACTCCCATTTTCTTACTGTCCTGCCAGTATTAGTGTCCAGCAACAGAGAATTTGAGACACTTTTCTGTTTTTCCTTTTCTTTCTGAGAAAATACACACTGAAAATCTCTCTCCAGGCATCAACCTCAAGCAGGTCAGGGTCTGGGAATTCAGCTAATGCAGCAATTTTGAATACAAGTTCAAGTGGCTGTGCCAGGACCTGAACAAAAACACATTTCAAGAACACCCCAATTTTTGGAATAGCTAAGGTATTATACAAGGTTTAGATATTACGCAAGGTCTGTGCTGCAGTGCTAAATATTCTGGAATTATTCAACAGCAGTACAAAGCTGGAGTGACATGGCTTTTGTGAGCATGAAGTAAGACAGGCTTTGTGAAGGCTTTTTCCCTTTTTCAGTAACATTTTCACAGTCTAGTAACATGCTACTAATAAGCAGATTAGACATACACTCGCTGCCATAGTCAATGTAAAGGGAGTAGTATGATACAGCATTATGCTACCACAGAAGGAAACAAAAAGCCCTAAACCAACATTCAGCAAAATAGCCCATAAACTCAGTTGTTTTCTATTTCCCTCAACACAGAACTTTCCCACAGTAAAATCATGCAACAACAAACAAGGTTAAGTTTGAGCTGTGATACACATATAAATTTCTATTCCGCAGGCACGTCGCTAACTGCTACAGGAAATCTATCCTTACGTGAGGTCCCAGAGTAATATAGGGGAAATCACAGTCAGAAATGGGAGAGAATGTTAGGATTTTTGCACAGGGATGAAGGATTACAATTATAAGAACTACTTTGTTTTGTGTCTGAGTTTGATAGAGTATTATCCTTTGTATCTCACTTGTTATCAGTAGCTGCTGCATTTGCCAAGTATCTTCCTCATTATGGGAAAACAAGAAGAAATCTTGCCCATTTTTGCTCCAAAAGGGGTTTCCTGAAAGCTGGCCTTTTCTCAGGACTACGCGTTTCTTTGTTTGCTTCATTGGTTTCCTAGCAACACCTTCCACAATAATAGGCCTGTTTTCCAATACCTAAAGGATTGATTTTTAAAAGCCCTTCAACTTACAGTTAGAAGTTTTAGACATACTTTTTCTGGGATCACTAAATTTCCTCCTTTGGTCCCCAGTGTCAGTGGAAAGTTAGGTGCTGCATAGTAGGATTTTCAGGGGTTGAAAAGCTCTAGAGAAAGAGGGTCTAGTTTACTGCCAAGGCCTACAGGACACTTTCAAGTGCAGCCCCAACTGTGGCTTCTGTAAGTGCTCTACATCTGCATGTAATTGGGCCAGTCTGCATGCCAAATGGCAGGAAGTGAATTCTGGTGTGTGGTTGATATGGTCAAGAATGCTTTTTATCAGACTTGACAAGTTGTTTCACCCTGATAAAAATAACCAGTTGCTTTATCAGCACTTTTACCAATACCAAAACTACTTGGTGTATAGTAATAAATGCTATCTTGGAACCTCACATAGCAGACATGCTGTGTGCTGATCACCTACCTCAGGGCAAAAAAGGAGAAGTACCTTTTTTCAGGTAATAGGAAGATGCTATAAAGCACCACATAGTTAAAGATGCCTTAAAACATGTGAAAACACAAAACGGATCATTTAGACATCCATTTTACATCTATATAACCACCTGATATGATAAGGTAGTGACTTCTTGTTAAAAAGCTTGGCAATGAACTTCAGCAGTCACAAAGAAGGAACCTTATACATTCTTGACTACAGACTTTCTGGTAAGTCTGATACATAATATCATGAGATGCAGGCATCCTGCTGGCTTTTTAGCTAACTAATAGAAGCTTTTCAAAGCATAAAGCAAAAGTTTGAAATCATATGTAATGCATTTGGTCTGCAAATTCTACATGGAAAATTGAGTGTAATACACTGATTGTGTTACTGTTATGTAAATGATTATTTGTAACTGATAGAGGAAAAGCTAACTGCTAATTTAGACCAAGTAACCACAGTTTATCTTCAAGGTTTAGGAGAAGTCATGCCAGATTTCATTTCTGAAGGTTTTATAGTATCTAGTTCTGTTTCTCTGGAGGCTGCATAATTACAAATTATGATTTTTTGTGACTTTTTTTTTTTATATTAGCACTGTTTCTTATTACATACTCTGCTTTTCCATACCTGCTCTCCTCCCAGTCTCGAGACTTCTTTGTTTCATTTGGTTTGATGCAGCGGATGTAATGGGGTGTACACTTCATCAGAGTGCCAACAAGGTCATTTGCTTGTTTCTGCAAAATTGAGGGAAAATAAAAGGATATGAGCTGAACAATGGAGTAAATCCTGTGAGAGAATTCTAAAAATTATCAACTGTCTGCTCATGATCCAGGTGACTGGATCCAGCTGACTTCCATCTTTCTCCAGTGTCTTGGGATAATATGCACCTCATGAAAAATTTATGAGTAAATAGAAGGCGCCCTTATCTCCAGCTATGTAATTTATTTAAACTATTATATAAAAACATGGAGTGACAAGGAATACCGCAGGTGAACTTGACCGTCAGGGCGAAACAGGAGGAAAGAGGCTAATAAAATCTAGATCTCCCAAGTCTGCAAGCATGTAATCTAAGCGTTTATTTTGCAACCGGTCTCCAAAAAGATGCTCGCCTTCTAACACTTGCTGCCTTATTCAAGGCACATTATGGTCAGTAGAAAGACTTCTGTTGACTTCAGTGGGCGTTGGATCAGGCCCTGCTGCATTTCTGCACTATAAAGAAACCAGTTATCTGTAGTTAATTGTAGGGAATCAAGTGGCTGTGTGAAGGGGCTCATTCATTATGCACATGCAAGTACTATTATTGCTACCATCAATTGCTCGTTTGGAAGATTCACTGCTGTAGAATGCAGATGAACAAAACATCTAATGAACAGTGATGCTGGGCAAAACATGATTCTAACAGCTAAACCAATTCACCACTTTTTACTGTCTAGACATTTTAAAAGATAGACATGGGGAGTATCTTGATTGCAAAGAACAGCAAAGACTAGAGTACTATTATTGCTACCATCAATTGCTCGTTTGGAAGATTCACTGCTGTAGAATGCAGATGAACAAAACATCTAATGAACAGTGATGCTGGGCAAAACATGATTCTAACAGCTAAACCAATTCACCACTTTTTACTGTCTAGACATTTTAAAAGATAGACATGGGGAGTATCTTGATTGCAAAGAACAGCAAAGACTAGTTTTTTTTAAAAATTTAGGTATCTATGCACAAACACACCCCCACATTTCCCCCCCCCTTTTTTCCCCATAATTACATACTAACAGCAAAACTAGACATACTTTGATTTTACTGCCTGCAGTGGTAGGACGGCCCTTCTTGTCCACTTGAAGATTTTCAGGAAACAGAGCCTTTATAAAAGGCCTAGGAAAGAATTAATAAAACAGTGTTGGGGCGGAAAGATATTTAATACAGGAAGGTCAAGGAATATGCTGTAGAAGTTGGTAGTTGAGCAGAATACAAATAGCTGTTTCTATTAATATGGAGTTGTATCAAATCTATTTTAAGATTAGTATTTTCTGAGAGCTTCATTCTTCACAGAGAGCCCTTGCTATTTTGGTGAACCTCAGAAGACACGAGCCCAGACTTCTAGACTCAAAGAAATGTCCGTTTCTTAAAGTAAGCATCAAGTCATTAAAATACATAACAAAAAGATGTTACTCTATATGCTAAAACAGTGCCTGTTCTAAGGGCATGCCAAATCACTGACGGCCTTTTCTGAAGCCAAAACAAGCTGTCACTGTACCATGTGATTCTGACACTGCAGTACCTTACTTATTCAGATCTGCAGAACACAAAGGTCGATACAACACGATACTGCTCTACTGCAGTGGTGCCTTATTTCCACTTTTATACAAATGAATTCGCAAGCTGTGAGGTAGAGAAGTCAAGCCCTCTGCAACCATCTCAATTAGCACATTATTCCTAGCTTTAAGCAAGTTTTGCTTACGTACAAATCACTGCTCTGCATGAGTTCAATCAAGTCCATGAAAAGAACATCCCGATTTCTCTCGCAGAATCCATCCATATCATAAGATACCTGGGCCAAGGTGGAAATTGATTGATTGTGGTAAGTTGAGAACCCAATATTTAAAGAAAATTTAAATTCTATCCTCATCAGTAGCTGTTCTGAACTTTTTGGTTAGTCTGGTATAACTTAAAGCTACTATAATGATCACCAAATCCTTGCATGTATTATCTGTTAACTCTTTCACAGCAAACATAAGGAATTTCATGCATATATTTAAATTCCATGACTTCTGGAGCTAGTGAATGGAATACAACACAAGTGAATTGCACAGTCGTTTTTATCAAAGAAAAATTTTCACATAAACTTTTACTGTTATTAACTATAACTGCAGGAAATCACTAATAGTCTGAGAAATATACCCAAAGATACAACTGTACATTACACTCCTAGTTTTATTGGCATATCATCACCTAAGGAGCACTTCTACAGCAGTAAATTTAAAGAGTTCAGATACTATAACCAACCATTAATAAAAGACACAGGGTGTTTGTTTATTGCATTTACCATTAAGTTCTGGTTAGTATGTTTGACAGCAGCAAGGCCCAGACTCAGCTCTCCTAAGTAGGGATGTCAGGGCATATTTGTTCTAAGCTCCCTACACTGTGAATGGAGGGCTGTCTCCTGAGATAATCTACTTAAAATCAAAACAGCCCTCTACAGGGCTTCCCCCTTCCTTTCATTACTGTTCTGTTCTTTACATTACGCAGAATTCAGTGAGAACTTTCCACATTACCTTTCCAGCATAATGATGAATGATAAACCCCTGGTTCCAGCTGTTGAAATGTTCGTGAGTCCCAATCTGCATCTGGAGTTTTTGAAGCAGCGTTTGGTCAGCTCCTTCTCCCACTGCATGCATTGTGGCACACACATCATCTAAAATGCTCATAATCCCAGGGGGATTCTAGTGCGTTGGAGAAGAATAACAAAAGCAGCAAAAGAAGTGAGGGGGTGAAAAAAAAATATTACACCACGTTTTTCCTCTGAAACAGAAAATTATCTTTGCCACAAAAGCACTAGAACAAAGTCACAGCAGGCAGAATTCCCAGTAGAGTTCACAGCAGAGATTAATTTGTACACTGGCATGCAAATAGTTTCAGCAGAGATGCCACTTCATGTAATGACAGTGACAATGGGAAATGATGGGGGAAACAATGATTGCTATTGAACAACACTTTGAAATACTTCCTTTTCACTTGTTTCTGCTTAATTTGTGACAGTACCTCAAAGGGAGCTGGTATTGTAGCTTCCCTAAACTGAAATACGTCCGTTCCAACCCCCCTGCCATGGGC